GGGGTGAATTAGTAAATAAAATTTTATCCCTTTCTTAGATTTTAAAAAGATAGAAACTGATTTATGAACTTGAGCAAGTTGATTTTAAGGTTTTTCAAAAATGATTTTTCAACCACAGAAAAATAAATTTGCAGTAAAGTAAATAAGCAGCATAAATAAAAAGACATAAAAGTTTATAGTGGTTCGTTCAAACACGACCTACATCCACTCCCTGAAATCTCTAACTTTAGGTATTGCACTATACCAAAGTGACTCTCATTTTGCCCCCACAACAAGGCGAAGAAGCCTTTACAAAACTCTCTTCCACCAATCCCCAGTGCTGTAGAGAACCGTCATCATTTTACACTCTTCAAGTGTAGGTAGAGAACCTTCATCCTTTCACACCCTCTAAGTGTAGGCAGAGAACTTTCGTCCTTTCAAACCCTCCAAGTGTAGGCAAATAACTTTTGGCTGTTCACACTCTCCAACTGTAGGCAGAGAACCTTCGACCTTTCACACCCTCTAAGTGTAGGCATATAACCTTTGGTTGTTCACACTCTTCAAGTGTAGGCAAAGAACCTTCTGATGTTCACACTCTCCAAGTGTAGGCAGAGAACCTTCGGCTATTCACACTCTCCAAGTGTTGGTAGAGAACCTTCGGCTATTCATAATCGTTGAGTGTCGGTAGAGAACTGGATCTTCTTGAAAGATCTTCACACTAGAAATCTAGAAGGACAAGAGAAAAGAGTGAAAAAAACACAAAACAACACACAAAGATCCTTACCCTTGAGTAACCAAGTGAACTCTTCATGCTCCAATAGGAAGAAATCTCTTTCAAACACTCTCTCTCACTCTCTCCTTCAATTTCCCTTTACCATTCATGAAGACCAAGTGACAAAAAGATTAAAGGTCAGTTTTTAATGGATCTTTTATAGAAAAGACACAAAAAAAAAACTATCCAGAAAATTGAATATTTCAATTTTGACCATCCATGATCATCTCGTACGATCGTATTTTATATGTACGAACAGTTCAAAAATTGTTGTGCACGAACTCATTATGAATCGCTACGAAATGTATTTGTACCCGATCATTATCCGGTATGAATTGTGTTTGTCCGGTACTAACAAAAGAAATATCAAAATGCATATGTATGAACTAGTAGGAAGAAATTAACGAAAGTACACTAGAGCCCTTCATCTCGATACGATTGAAAAATATCGTTCGTGCACGATCCAGAGCCCATCGTCCCAGTACGATCGAAAAATATCATCTGTATGAACTTCGTTCATGCACGCTATAGAGCCCATCATCCTGGTATGATAAAAAATTATCATTAGTATGAATAGTGTTCGAGCTTGAACCAAACGAGATTGTCCTAGTACGAATGAAAAATATCGTCCGTACAAATAGTGTTCGAGGTCGAACCAGAGGAGATCATCCCAGTATGAACAAAAATATTGTTCATATGAATAGTGTTCGAGGTCGAACTAGAGGAGATCATCTTGGTACAAAAAAAAAATATCATAAGTACGATCTATATTTAGAAAAAAATTTGACTTTTTTGTTCGCTCCATTGCTCGTTGGAGAAAATAACTGACCAGATCATCCCGTACAAATTAATTGTGTACTGTACTAACGGTTTAAAAAAGTGAATTTTAGAACTCTCTCCCGGTGTGTGTGCTCAGTTACTCAATTATAATCACTCTCTCAGACTCAATAAAATGAAAAATATAGACTTCAAATTACAATAACTCTAAACTTATTTTGATTTGAAGTATTCAACAATCTGGAGTATGATTTTCCTGAAATGTTAGTACACACAAGAGCAAAATAATTCTTCCAAAATGTGTTAGGAGAAAATAATAATCAAAACAATAATATTTGGAATCATCAAAAACATACAAGTTGCAATAATATCAAACATGCAAACCTAAGTAACAACTCTCTAAACAAAATAAGGAAATTTTAAATTGAAATTAGAAGGAGGCTCATCTGTTGGAGAATTTAGATTTTGTAAAGCCTCTTTAACACCAGAAGATTATTCTTCCAAATTCTTTAAGTTAATATCATCAGGCATAGCTCCAAAAGTCTTCAAATTACTTGTATCTAATTGCAAATTATCTTAAAACTCATTCACAATCCAAGAAGAATGAGATATTCTTGATAAGGGTTTAGAATGAATTTGGGTATTAGATAAAATTTGAGGATTCTGATCAAAATTAATTTGAGAAACATATTTGTATGAAAGAGATGGCCTCACAAGATGTGAAGCCTCCTTCCAAGCCTTCCTACTCCTACTTCTTCCCCTACTATGCTCCATTTTCTCAAGAGAAAGTAGCGGCTTAGTAGGACACAACAAAGAGGGGTGAACAACAAATCCACAACCCAAACATGGAGAAGGTTTCCAATCATAAATAACCTTTAATTGAAAGACATCAGCAATCGAGATATTAGCTTCATCAGGAAGACTGGATTCCTTAGTAACTAAAGCACAAACTTGAGCAAAAGTAAGCCTAGCTTGTTTAGTTGTTAGAGAGTCCACAATAATAGGAATCATTACAAAACTTGCAATCTTTGAATTACCATCGGGCATAGAAGATTTTAAAAGTTCAAAGCAAGGTCTCTTACCCATCGAATACCCTACCAAAGTTAAACATCATTTTTTAGAGGAAACTAAAACAACCTTCATAAAAAAGAGCAAGATTATCAGAAGGAATAAAAGAAATTAAAAAAAAAAAGGTTTCGGAGAAGATTGACGATACGTCAATAACCCATTCAAAGTTTTCATGCCCGACGGGGACTTTATAGTTGAAGAACTCATATCCAAGACTAATTTTAGAGAAGAAAAATCAGTAGAAGGAACCATGCAAGGCAACATATGAAGAGGAAGAGCCACTTAATCAAAAGAAACCACAAAGAACTGCTTGGGGTTTGCAAGAAACCCTAAACTCTCTCATCGAGGCATTCTTCCAGCCATTTGATTGAATGATTTCATGCCATTTCTTAATTGTCTAGATTTTGGAAGCAAAAAAATTTTAGCGTTAGCGGCTCCTTTTGAGTTCTCTTTGGTCGGCAAATTCCCTTTGCATAAACCGTCGCTTAAAGCTATTCACAATTTTTTTTTTAACCTCAAGCTCAATGGTGAGTTTTATGTTATTGTTCTTAATCCTAGGCATGTGTTAATCAAACTTGTCAATGACCTAGAATACTGTCATGTGTTTGCACACCATTCTTACTTTGTAAATAACTGTTTCATGAAGATTTTTATGTGGACACCAACCTTTGATGTTGAAATTGAATCACCCATTATTCCTATATGGATTTATTTTCCTAACCTACGCCCCCATCTATTCTCCCCTAGGATCCTGCATGGGTTGGGTTCTATGTTTGATCGGCCTCTTAAGATTGATCATGCTACATCTTCTGGCTCTAGGCCTTCGGTGGCTCATGTCCTGGTTGAGTTGGATGTTACTAAATCTTATGCTGATAGTTTAAGGGTTGGTTCGGAAACTTTAGGGTATATTCGACCGGTGGCTGTGGAGGATTTTTCCTTTTATTGCTCACATTAAAAGTCTTTGGGGCACTCCAAATCTGAATGCAAAATCCTTTATCCCCATTTAGCTTTAGCTCATACCATTTTGAATAAGGCTGATGAACCTATTTTGAATAATGTTAATGTTACAGTTGCCATGTTGATGGCATTCAGCCTATTGCTCATATGGTGGTGCCTGAGGATGTGGCTGACGTTTCAATAGCTGTGGATGTTTTGGTTCCTCCTTTGGAGGTCTCGGTGAAGGCTCCTGTGCCTGCAGTTTGCTCCCAGATTATTGTTGATGTCCCTTTTGGTTGTTTAGACCCTACTACCATTTTGGAGGGGGATAGTGCGCCTGCTATTGTTGTTTCTCCTATTATTATTGAGAAGTCCCCTAGTGGTTGTGTTTCTGGTGAAAATTTGATGGATGTTGTTGAGGGTCAGTGTGGAGTTAATCAGGTTGTGGATGATGGATCCACTGAGTTGGGTGTGTCAACAATGTTTCTCCTGTAACTATTTCGGATACACCTGTGGGGGTTCTTACGCCTGCTCAATTTGTTGATGTGTCGATGTCTCTAATTTCCAATGTTACCTTACAAGCTCTTTTGGGCAAGTTGAGAGATTGGACTGTGGACAACTCGAATTGGTTGGATGTTTCCCCTGTTAGTCGGGATGGGAATGGGGCCTTTTTTGCTGACTCGTCTGAGGGTTTTCATGAATCTTACAGATTGCAGGTGGGTCATCTTGTGGAAAAAGATTTTTCCTTCCTCGCAAGAAATCCAAACAAGTTTATGGTGGTTTCTTCTGTTTGCATGTTGTCTATCGAGGTTGATGGGGGTTATTGGTTGTGGTTGATTGGCATTATGGCTTTTTGGATTGGGATTTGCGACTGTTTTTTTGTTGGCTTGGTTTGTAGTCTGGACAATGATGAGGCGAATCTGCTCTCCATCTAATCATTTGGCTTGTTGGCAACCACTGCTAACGGCTATTGCTTGTCTTCTTGCGGTATACTATCTTCGTCTGTTCGAATTTTATTTTTCCGGCCTATTGCTTGCCCTATGGATGTCCCTGGCCTACCGTTGGGATGGTCGTAGCATTTCACCACTAACTAAACTAATTTCTCAATTTTGGTTGTTCTCATTCCAGTGGCTTCTCTTTCAGCTATCCATTTTAATTTGGATCATCCCAAGCGCATGAGGGTCAAGCCAAGCTCCAACTTTTTAATCTATTTATTGATTTTGGATCAATTAGATTCAGATCAAGTTAATTTAGAATTAAATCAAAACCTAACCTGTTTAACCCATTTTACATGCCTAACTTGAACTGCAAATCTCTTTGTTGGATCAAATTATATTATTCATGATTTTAACTTGTGGTTGCATTGAAAATGTTCTTTAAAAAAAAAAAACGCTGAATCCAAGAGGCAAAGAAGGTTCATCATCACATGCTTGAATCTACCCAGCCATATAAAGCAAGCAAATATGAGTTCAGGCAAGTTCGAAGTACATCTAATAGCATAAGACAACGTTAAAATTTACAACATTTTCAGCTGCACAATTTGCAGGTCTACCACATAACAAAACAAATGCATTTTCCTCTTCAATCATTACAGTCATAAATACAGCGGATCAAATTAATATAGATTGACAAAAAGCATGACAAGGTTAGGTTTTAATTGAAACTATTTCTACAGATTTTTCCTATTCATACCAAAAAAAGAAAAAAAAAATCTTGTCTTTGGAAAATCAACTGTTACATGAAGATTAAGGTGTTATGAGAAATCTCATTTTGTGTTGAGGAGCAAGGATGGCATTCTAGTGTCAGGAGGGGGAAAAATAACTGGCTTCCTCTATATTGCTATGCATATCCTACATAAAAACTAAAAGCTTGCTGATTGTTGAACAAGGTTGATTTGAAACCTAAGCAATACTCTAGAGTTTGGCATCCTTTGTTGTTGTTACGAATTCCATTTGGTCAGAGTTAGCTTCAACGGCGTCATATTCAGATAAGAGATCCATGAACTCATTTAGCAGCCGCTGGACTTTTCGATTTGATGCCATGGCTGGAAGGATGTCTTCCCTAAGAAGTTTTTGCTTCTTCATTCCCTGTAGTTACAAAAAATAAATATTCAAAAAGCTAGTCTTAGAGCACCTTCGTTTCTATTATGAATGCGACTCCTGATCATATATTTCTGCATAAATGGTCCATGCAAGATAAACAGTACTTCAATAATTAAAATGTCCAACTAAATTCATATGCAGTGCTTTGTTTGATATGTCGTGCTTTTGTTTATGCAGAATCTAAGTTAAGGATTTCTTGCTTTTAAAGAAAAAGAGATCAAGATATTCTGACCAATATTTCTTTCATAAACGTTTCAAATTCATTGAATTTGCTTTGAGATTAATTCAATATATATTAGATATATGTTCCACTCATCTCTAAGCAAATCTAACAGCTTTGATAACCAAATAAATTTTTTTTATGGATATTCTGATACAAAGATTTTCTTCTTTTTTTCTCCATTTTATTTTTGTGGGTGTGATGAGTGTATCCAGCTGAAAGATAAGGCCGATAAGGGATGCTTGTGGTGGACTTACTAGAACACTAGGATCCCATGTCTTTGTATCAGAGGATGCAGCTTCAACCATGCCTGTTGGAGGGCCAAGAAAGCTCTCACAAACTTCACGCAAGCGGGATTCATCTGCTTCCCTGCAATATTAATATAATGTTTAGCTTAAAGAAGATTGAAATAAAATATAAGCAAGGAGAAGGGACAGAAGCTAAGACTCCCGTGGGATAATGATATAACATGCACAAATACAATAGAAACCAGGAATTTAAGCCAAATCTCAAACATTCCCTCTTCGCTTGAGTTCTCTTTCAGGAAAAATTAAGAACAAAAAGCAAAATTTACCAATAAATTGCTATGCAGCAAGTTTCCTTCTTAAAACTAACTGAAAACTGAGTATAGGTTTTACTTATCTTCTCCTACATCTAATTTCGTCAGATCCACGGAATAATAGTAATTTATACAAGTCAACGAATTTTTAGGAGTCAAATATCAACATAAGTACTGCAACAAGCAGAATTTTGTCATCAACAGCCGGCCACAAGAATTTGCAAGTACATACAATAGTTGATGTTTACAACATTTAAAAAAAAAAAAAAAACAGTTATAGGATTATTCCTGTAGTATGGAATCTTAAGTAGACCTAGATAACGAACAAACTTTATTTCTTTCAGTGAATATGTTAAAAGTTTTCTTGTTTTCCTGTTTCATCACTAGAAATCCATAGAACATGCATCCTTGGTCAATGAAGAATTCATAAATGTACAATGATGATTCTAACAAAGGCTTTATCATTTCATGTGATCCCTAGTAACGTTAAAAATAGTTGTCATATGTCTCAGTAACGAAAAAAAAGCAAGAGGGGAAATGGCATTAGAGTTTTGCAAAAAGCTATTAAAAAGCCAAAAGTTTCTAAAATCAGTTTTATGTCAACTCAGGCTTGTTTTAAATTTCAGCAAAACTCCATAAAGTTTATGCCTTCTAATTCTTTGAAATGCAATAAGTAAACTGGCACAAAATTCATATTTTAGACAAATAATACAAAAACAGTAACATTAAGCCTTATCACACAATGTGGGGTTGGCTATATGAATCATTTTTCACCATTGTATTTTATTAAGAGTCAAATTCTCATTTAAATCTAATAAAAAAAATGCTAAGTAAATTTTACTTGTTGGGGGCAATCTCTTTAAATATATATAACTAATATTCAGTGACCAATTAAATGCTACTTGGAATCGTATAATGACTAAACATCACTAATTCTGTACCTAAATTCACTGTATAATAAATGATCAAAAAATTTAAATGAATGACAAGACAAATTTGAATATTGAACCTACATCCACAACTTGTTGATCAACTACCAACCCTTTAATATTGTTAGCCAAGGAACTATTTCATTTAATAGATAAAATTGCCATGTAATAAAAGTCAAATCTTTTGCCAAAAAGACATTCCGCTCTCCTCCCAACCTCACTATCATTATGCTGCAGACTGTCCTACTATTCTTGTGGGTCATTCCGTCCTTAACAGTCTATTCCTACCTCCAAAGTGTCCTATCGTTGCTGTCCTCTTCATTTTCGATGCTAACCTCCATGGTGCATATTCACCCACAACTGCCCCAAGGACAGGAAGGCTCTTAACATGGAGAAAATGCTAAATATTGTTTTTGTGTAACACTTAAAAATGGACGTATCTTTCAGATCATGGTGCCTTTAATATGTACCAATCTTTAAGCAAGACATGTTTGTACACACTTATAACTTTTAAGAAAAATATTTGTACTTGCATACATTTATATTTAACAACTTGCGATCCACTTAAACATATCTATAATTTGCCTTAATAGCTTCACAGAATATGAATTTATACCCTCCTTCCAACATAAAATTATTTATCAAGAATTACTTGAGAAATAAAATATAAAATTTATCTTTAATGGTTTTCATCCTCCTTTGGAGCGCAAGAATATATATATGGTAGTAGATAAACAAGAATAGCCTTCAATGTATAATATTTGTTTTCAAAGAACATTAAATTTTTTTGAATTATATTAGAGATTAATAACAGAAAGTTAAGAAGCCTAAAACACGATCCATAGAAACTAAAACAAATTAACCTAGAAGCTGTGTATTTGTATGCACTGCTCTTCGTATAAGCTGTCTAATTACACATGAAATACCATAGAAATTAAATTCACCAAGTTAAGTAGTCGAGTGATGACAACTTACATGGTTTCAGTGCCTCAACAATAAATTTAAAATTCACATCCTCAAAAGAACACATATTTTTTGGGGGAAAAAAATGAACAGAAAATTAGCCCAAGATTTGGCCAGAATAGATCAGCAGCAGTTGTTCACCAGTTCAGGCCACAGCTGGGTGCCAAGACTATATTTTTGGGCAATAAACATGTAAGTTGATCCCAGAAAATAGTTCAATTTTGACTGGTCTAGATGAGTTTACCATCCAAAACAATCAAAATAAATTGGTTAAAGTTGGAAATTAAAACCATGGAAAAACTAGAAAACTATTTCAATACTAACCAAATTCATATAAAGCGAAAATCACATGTTATTCCCAGAATCATCAATTAAATGACTATATAAATCAATCATAGAACAACTTCTGGAGGCCTTTTAAGCCTAAAAATGGAAAAACAATATCAACTTGATATTTGTGTGACGATTGAAATAACAGATTTGTTCTAACCACTACAGTTTTGGGAGTTTGGTGGGTAAAAGTAGGACTGCCAAATAAGAGGTCAAGAGTTCAAACCCATGTCTTATGAGTTGAACAAAATGAAAAATTTCACTAGTTACTATAAACAAATTTGTAAAAAAAATTTATTATGTCATCTTGCGACCAAAATCCACTATGAAAATTATTGTAGATATTAATAAAATTTAATAAGTTAAGTAATTTTGTATCTTCAAAAGGTGAAATGATCCAGAAAAATGAGCTAATTAAAGCAGAAATCATATGGAAAAAGATTGATGCATGATGGTAAGGACCATAGTGGAGGAGATAATTAACGATGTGATGGCAAAATAATGTTTAACATGAGCACGTATAATAGGAACTGGAGAGCATAGAAAATGTTGAAATGGCAATGAAAGTTGATTTTGTTAGTACTTCAAAGAAACCCGCTCTGCTAATAGGGCAAAAAAAAGGCTCCACAATGCAAACCCCGACTAGTGGAATAAAGATTGTTATTCAAACTACTAAAGAAAACGAAGCATTGCTGAGATGTTGTATGCTTCAGCGTGCAAATTATATGTCAAGCAAGTCAGATCACTGGAATCTGGTATGCACACCATTAAAGTAACATAAAGATTATGCAACGCCATAAATCAATTTTTTGAAATCATATCATCCTAAACAAACATCTTAAAAATTTCACAATAAAATAAAGAAAAAAAAAACAAACATAATATTAAATAGCTGTTAAATTATTTAAATAATATATGTTCAAAAAAAAAAGATAAGAAATAGGTTTATTTAAGCTATTTATGCAATATACTCTTAAAATTAAAATTATTAGCAAAATACATGTATTTAGTTTGTTCACAAAATCTATATGATGCAATGATATGGACATTGGGACACGAAAAAAATATGACACATATTGATGTACATAGATTCTAATTCTACTTATTGACAACAACAACAACATCAAGCTTTTATTCCACTATGTGGGGCCAACTATATGAATCTTTTTTCTCTATTGTGACATATTAAAAGTTAAATCCTCATTTAAATCTAATAAAGAAATGTCATTTCTAATATTTCCTAACCGTGTCTTTTTAGGTCTACATCTATCCTTCTTAACATAAATCAAATCTAATACATCTACTTTTCTAACCGGGTCATTAGAAGACCGTCATTTTATGTTACCAAACCATTTAAGGCCGCCGTTTTATTCACATTTAAAGAAAATAAATTTCTAAATTAATTGATGAATTATGCCGTGAATCCTCAATTTCATTTGCATAAATTCATACTAAGCATTTTATTAGTTATATAAGAAAACCTTAATATGAACTATCCTACATCAAATTGGTCTTCCAGACTATGACTGCATCATCATGTCACTTAAATGTAGGACCTGTCAATTAACTCAATAAGAAAATTACTAAATTCTTCAATTTAAACAAAATAGGGTAAGTTGTAGTTATAGAAGAAAAAAAAGTAATATCAAACTATAGAAAAGTTAAAAATTGCATTTATGCATTCGATGAGAGGTGTGATTTAGAAATCAACATGAATCAATTATTTGAAAGATTCCTTCAAAAATATAATTTGTATAGTTCTCAAAGCTTAGTCAAATAAAAACTAGAGAAATATGCTCAATCATTTTGGTGAAATATTGCCACTAAATTATCAAGAGTTGTTCTAAATTATAAACTTAAAGATGATCAATTTAAGGATAATAATAAGTGTGTTTGAATATTATGTAAGATTTATAGATCATATAGCTAAATTTTATTTATCTTTACACTAATTTATTACTATAATTAGTTTTACTAAAGGTCTTAGATAAAAAATTATGAATGAACCAGGCAACAATTCACAAAAATTATTGCATGAGGTTTTAATTATAGATTTAATTATTAAGGGATATTGTAACTATTCTTTTGTTAAGATTATCATATGTATTTATTCCTAAGGAAAAATTGGAAGCGTCTCAACTAAAGCTTGTTGAAAATACATAAATGCAAGAGTCATGTAAGCTTGAACTTCATTTTATGGAAAAAAACTTTAGTTCATAAATACTATTTTGATGATATTTTAGATGCAATAAATGAATTGCATTTATAATCTGAATTTGCACATACAATAGATCATGTTCACAACCTGATATTTATGCTTAATCAAGAGTCAAATTTTGATCTGAAATTGAAATTAAGCATAGGATAAAATTTATGTTTGAAATCCCAATAGGAATTGAGTCTATTTCTAATTTTCTAAATGTGAAAATGAACACATCATATATAATATATAACTGTTGAATCAAAGGTCGATAAATTGTCTGCATTGTTATTATGGTAGATGATCAGACTAATGTTCATGATAAAATGGTATAAATTCATAGAATAAACCCCATTGATAAGAGCTAAATGGCATCAGTATTTTAAAGAATTTGTTAATAGTAAATGTAATAAAAGAAACCTAAAATATAAAACTTCAACCATCTCGTCAATCCAAAAGGTGCTTAATTAATCACAAATAACTTTTAAGTTATTTTAGTTTTTCATAAAGGAGGTGTTTGTCCATATCAGCATACCATAATTGTGAGGTTTGTTTGCTTGGAACTTCTTTAGCATCTTATTTTTAATAATTAATTATAGATCATTATTAGTATTTCTTAGGATTCATATTAAATTGTTTATATTTTGCTTCAAGTTATATGGTCATATACAAGAACTGCATGACAATATTTGCAAAAAATCTAGCTATTAACTATGATAATCACAAGCCTTATGATGAACTAAACAAGAGGCATATGAAGTCTAAACCTGGTGATAAAATTATTGTGCGTTTAAATTCAAAAAGGCTTCCATTAGGTACCTTTAGCCTTGGTTGAAATCTAATTTCAGCAATTTCAAAAAACCAACGATAAGAAAATCAGGAATAAAACATACGAATACTTTTTTATTGAAAGATTTATGAAAGAAAAGACAAAATACAAGTGGATCTTCAATTGGAGAGGAAGATCTGGCTCTCCCAAACCTCTGGTCGCCAGCAGAGCCCAAACACCAAAAGAACAATCTAATTTCAGCAAACAACACCTATCCCTAACCCTAGAAAAATCACCTATTTAAAGCAAACAATAAACAGTAACTACCCAAACAGCTCTCCCCCAATTCCCTCCTATTTTCTTAATTATGTCCCTCCCAAATCAGCCCCTAAATCTGTCATCTTCAATTTGGAAACATTTGCTAATTAATCCGCTTCAAATCCACCCCTAAATCAGCACTATTCAATTAGGAAACATTTCATAATTAATCTCCTCCAAATCTGCCTCAAAATCTGCCCTCTTCAATTAGAAAATATTTCCTAATTAATCAGCCCCCGTATATGCTCTCTTCAATTAGGAAACATCTCCTAATTTATTCCTTTTGATTAAAAACATTCCTAAACAACTCCATCTTAATTAGGACATTTCCTAATTCCCTCTCAATCAAATCAACCGGTCCATCAAAAAGTAATTTAAAACATATTGGAATTAAAACCTAAAGATTGATATTTAAAAAAACAAATAATATAGCATTAGTCAATTTTCAATGTGTTTTATTTGACATGATTTTGATAGGAAACACTTGGATTCGCAAGTGTTTCTATCCCAAACCCGTAAAATTATAGTAGCCAACTGCTATCCACAGCAGCAAAACAGCAGGAATTCGATGAAAACGCAGCAGGAAATAGGGAAAAACAGGAGAAAAACACAAGATATTACTTGTATTTCAATAGAAATCAAAGAAAATAGAAAAGATACAATTGATCCTCACTTCGAGAGGAGGATCGATCTCTCCCAAATCTCTAGACGCCACTAGAGCCCAAAGAAAACCTAAATCTACGAGATCTCAAATTTCAGCCAAATTCAAGATACTCAAAACCTAGGAAAATCTACTATTTAATGCATACAATTCAAAAGGAATTTCCTAAACAATCCCTCAATCAATTTCCCTCCTAAAATCCATTCAAAAACCTTCCAAAAACCATCCCGCAAGGCGTGCGTCACGCGCGGCTTCCGCCCAGGCGGCCATTTTCTCCGCCTGTTCGCGATCTTCTCCTGTGAACCGGTCCCGCCTGGACCGGCTGGACCGGTCCAGTGGACCGGTCTAACAATACTCCCCTCCCAAAGATCCACCTTGTCCGAAAGGTGGAAAGACGATGCCCTCTTCCATTCCTTCTTCATCACAAACGGTAAGAACCTGATGATGTAAAACGAACAACAAGAATTGTAGGGATTAATAAGAAAGTTGTGTTTGCGATACAATTATAAGTTAATGTTTCATTTAAGATTAGATTCTCGGTTTCCATAGTTGTAAATTTGATTTGGCATGCAGTTACAGTTTTAGGTTAACAGGATGATTCAAAATAACAACAAAAGATAGTAAAACTAAATATGCAAATAACAAGAATCAGTCACATAACAAATAGAACTTTCATCTTTGAGTTTCCCTCACTCACACTCTATGAACTAGGCTCATGCAGGAGAAAACTTACACAATAACAAGGTTGCCACTAAAGGACAATAGGCGCTTAAGATTCTTGGTCAATAGAAAGTTTACCCGAATATGAAGAAGACGGCAGCTGTGTGAAGACTTCTAGACAGCAAACGGAAGCTCCCGGATTGTTGGACAGCAAGGGCAGCTTGCTAGAATTCTTTCTGGACAGCAAAATTGAAACTCTGGGTTTTGGGACAGCAAGTTAATTTGCTGTAGTTTTCTGGAAAGCAATTCATGGATCAACCAGAGGCCCGACAGCAGTGTTGTGATGGCAGGAAATCCCCTCTAGGTCACAATCTAGGAGAGAGTTGGGTTGGGGAGTTGTTGGGGGGAGATTAGTTCAAATCTGACATCAATTTCAAGTTTTTGGTGGAATTTGAATGAAGAAGATTTGAAATTTAGAATTTCAAACAAATGGGAATAAAGGAGGGAAGAGGTAATTAAAATCCTCTAATCTTAGGATTTAATTAGGAAACAAACTAAATAGAAAAAGGGAGGAAATTCTTCATCTCAAGTAATTTCTTCATCATCTCTTCCATCGCCGCGAACCTCCCTTCCAACCTTTCATTATTGGCGGTGATTTCAAGGAATTTTTCCTCCAAATCTGCTTTTAATTGGCCAAATTCGCCTTCTAGGACTTCGATCTTCTTTCCAGCCATTTTTCTTTCTACGAATCACAAGAAATCTTCCTCTGAATGCCAAAAACCAGCTGAAATTTCAGGTTTTCAGCCGCCGATGGTCCCAAATCGATGCTCTGATACCAATTTGATAGGAAACACTTGGATTCGCAAGTGTTTCTATCCCAAACCCGTAAAATTACAGCAGCCAACTGCTGTCCACAGCAGCAAAACAGCAGGAATTCGATGAAAACGCAGCAGGAAATAGGGGAAAACAGGAGAAAAACCCAAGATATTACTTGTATTTCAATAGAAATCAAAGAAAATAGAAAAGATACAATTGATCCTCACTTCGAGAGGAGGATCGATCTCTCCCAAATCTCTAGACGCCGCTAAAGCCCAAAGAAAACCTAAATCTACGAGATCTCAAATTTCAGCCAAATTCAAGATACTCAAAACCTAGGAAAATCTACTATTTAATGCATACAATTCAAAAGGAATTTCCTAAACAATCCCTACAATCAATTTCCCTCCTAAAATCCATTCAAAAACCTTCCAAAATCCGTCCCGCAAGGCGTGCGTCACGCGCAGCTTCCGCCCAGGCGGCTGTTTTCTCCGCCTGTTCGCGATCTTCTCCCGTGAACCGGTCCCGCCTGGACCGGCTGGACCGGTCCAGTGGACCGGTCTAACAGATTTCATAAGCTTGCAATAAATTCCTTATATTCTTCCCTTTTTTAATCTCTTATGAATTCGCACAACACTCTACAAATTAATTTTACAGTCCTTACTCTTAAAGTTGTTTGATAACCTATTAGGAGAGGGATGTATTAGATTTGGATTATGTTAAAAAAGGTAGAGGTAGACCTAAAAGACTTAGTTAGAAAATAATAAAAATGACCTTTTTTTATTAGATTTAAATGAGAATTTGACTCTTAAGATAATACAATGCAGAAAAGGTATTCATGTAGCCGACCCCACATAATGGTATAAAGGTTTGATGTTCTTATTCTTGAAGCTATTTTAGATGATGAGAATTTGATGAATTCCAGAGGTAGCGCCTTGGCATTACAAATATGTTGGGGATGAGTCATGCATTATTTTAAAGGAAGCATAAAAGTTTTCATGATTTGCCTCATACATATCAAAAGCTCAATTCATCATAGTGGTTTTTCCCAAACTGAGCACATTTTGTTTCTTAATTTTAGAAATATTATTAATGTCGTTGTGAAGAGTTTTCTCAGGTGCATAAATATTGTACAACTTGTGGCTTTTTTGTATGACAGTTGTGATTTCCAAGAGGCTTACACTAGTGATTTATGGTTCCTACTTGTTTGTCAGATGTGCATGAGATATTTCGTGCTATTCACAAATTAATTACTATAGCCATTTGATAATGTTTGTGGGACTTGATGACAGATTTTTGGCTATAATGGATAAGAAATATATGGGACTTAGAATTAATGCTAAAATTGATTCTCTTCTCTTTTGGGATTAAATTTCAATTTAACTTGAGCTAATCCCATGTCAATCATATTCACTAGCCTAAGAAAGAGGAATCTAAAATTGATGTTCTGCGGCATGTAATTTTAAAATTTGTGACTTTATAAAAATTATCTTTCAAACCTTAAATCTTCTGTGTGCAAATTGGACGGGTGACTCATTTAAGTGCAATATAAATGTGACTACCAAATTCTATGAGAAGTATCTCCCTGTACTGCTATGAGGCATAATTTTTTTTATTTTTATACCTCATTCATTGTTGTTGTTTTTGTTGCATTCCTTAATCATACTCCATCAACATAGCTTGAAATTAACTTGATTAATTAAAATTTGGCACATTAGAAATTCAATTTGTGGAAATTAACTGGCAATTGTTCATTGATTTTACATGCTTTTGAATCGTCACTAATTTTCACAGATTATTTCAATTATTTCATTATCAGTTGGGTTGTAATTCTAATATCATTCGTTAGCATTAAAAGAAAAGAAGTTCTTAAATTAAATGGTGTCTTTTGATTTATTAATCCTCAATTAACTTTGCATATCTTCACGCTAGCATATTTAAACCCTAACTTAACCATACTGCATCAGCAACCCAAGAAGAATACTTTTTTAATAGAGTCTTTCACATTAAGCAAACCTGGTTCTTGGAAAAAAATGGAAAAACGTCATGAAACATAGCATAAGGATGGAACTAACCTTGCTAGAAACCTTACATAAGCAAGAAGGCATTGACGGTATTCGTTAGGTGACTTCAAAGCCAGTGCAGATGCAAGCTGGGTTTCCAAATGAGCACGTGTTTGCACCCCATCATCCGTCACCCTATAACATAACCCCAGAAGAAAATGTGAGAATATGAGCATGATCCAAATAAAAAATAATATAATATAAAATAAAAAGCAACAAAGGACTGTTTGGTTGTGGGCTCCGAAAATTCGGCCCCGGCCTCCGCCCGCGACTGATTATTTGCTTTTTCTTCGGCGAGGGAGTTTTAACGGAATAAGTTTCGGGGTAAATTTTTGGAAGGCAGATGGGTTTGTAGATAAGACACTACCCAGAAATTTCGCCCTCATTTTGCGAGGACTTTATGATATGAGTTTTGGTTTCCTATAGGCGCAAGCCCCTATAGTTAATTTCTCCTCCCGATAACGAGAGAGAATTTTCGATTAAGGCTAGTCGTCAATCAGATATGTAGAGATACGTAGTATCTGGCATATAGTAGCAGCATAGATATTGATATTTGAGATGTTTAGAGGTTTCGAAATTTTGGAATTTAAATGATTGATATTTGGAAATTTAAATGCTTCGATATTTAAAATTGAAATTTCACCACCTTTCACTTAAAGCGGATGGTGGGGGAATGGATAATGGACCCGATCAAGATCCCATGGTTGCATCATCCCGGGCCATCATGGTCCCTAGTCTACTTAGTCAGAGGAGGTAGTCGACCCAACCTGACAGAAGGATCCATGTCGGCAACCATGGGTTGCTTCATCTAAGGATACCTTGTAGACCTGGGGTGAATGTTTGTTTAAGGGTACAAATTTAAATCCACCTTAGCTAACAGAGGGCTTTGTGCCCTATCGATCATATCCTATTGATTCATGTCTCAAGGATTTGATGTCACTAAGGAGCGTATTGGCACTAGCCATAACCGGTATTTCGTGGTGCCATTTGGCGGCAAAACCACTCGGTTCAGAGGGCCCCGGGTCATAACCGTTTATCCTGCGGTGCCATTTGGCGGCAAAACCGCCGGTTAGAGGACACGTACCACATCCTTACTAGCAGGAGATTATTTGAGAATGGATCCTAGTGATATTTTCGACTAGGCACTTGACTCTTTGTGAGCTGAAGTAGTTTTTAGATTTATCCACCTTGGCAAACTGTTGTGGAGGGTGGATGGATTTTTCTTTGAGTGGTTGATGATTGAATTTCAATTTTAAATATTTGGCATTTGGGATGGATTTTGAATTTTTTTTTGGATTTTTGTAGAATTTGGTATAGCATTTGAAAAATATTTGGAATGAACCCCTCCGGTTGAGATTTACATTCAACATGGCCATCATCGGGGTGTTTGGGGTTATTTTCATTTAAAGCTTGAACCTTGTTAACCCTATCAACTTGCTGATAGAGGATCGGGTTTCGTAGGTTTTATGCCTTTTATAGGCCTTGAATGCCTAATATGAATGTATTAAAACAAATACACTGGCCGCCACAACCGTGTACTTGTTTGAAGGTTCGAACCCTATCAACTCCTATTGATTCGTATAGAAGGATCAGGTTCGAATTAGAATTCACTTATTGACCCGCGCAGCATCCCTAGACGTCACATGTATACCAATAACATGTTCGTCGGGGCTCATATGGGTGTTTGGGGGCATTTTATAATTATACCATGTCTACTCCTTTTTACCTGCCTAGGAGGATCGGGTTTAAATTTAATAACCCGTGCAGCATCCTTAGACGTCACGTGTGTACCAATAACACGCTCGCCGAGGCCCATGCCGGTGTTATGGTTGCTTTTACCCCTTTTAGTGTACCTATGTGTATACAAACTACGGTGCACGTGTGGGGGTATTTTGAAAGTACTTGTAGACGCCTTCTGTCCGCTTGCATAGAAGTTGCGGATCCGGTGGCGTGGCATAGCAGCTTCTAAATAGAGTTGTTCGCTGCTTTATACGGGTAGACTGTCGTGTAATAATTGTTGCTTTCTGCAAGTGGATCATAGTGCACTAACTAATCTCCTGCCTAAAGTCATAGGAACTTGTGTTCTTTATGCCTTCTGCTGTGATTTTGGTCTTTATAATACATCCACTACTGCTGGAGGTATATGTATTCATCCTTAGACTGAAGTTGACTACAGGATACTGCATTTACTGTAGTCTTTATGTATCTACATAGGGGTGGCACGTTATACATACATCTATGTCAGTAGAGAGATTGTATGCATTGCAGATCTTTTATCCTTATTTGTAGAGGTCCAATATATTTGCTTGATGTTGAATGGTGATTGACTACAAGAGCATTACAACATTTATCGGCTCTTGCTACATAGCTTGTAGGTGCTTTTATTTATCACCATTTCTTATATGTTTTACTTATGCTCCTTTGTATTCATAGCATTTCAATAGTTTTTAGCAAATCATCACATTTATAATGTCTCTTATTAAAGAATTACCATATCCATGTGTATGCCAATCTTTATTATTCATAAATGATTCATCATCTATGAAGCACCACTGGTTTCGTTGTTTGTAGGTAGAATTAGCATATTCACTTTGTGTATTAATATTGACTTGCTGAATGGATCGTACTCATCAATAATCTCCCCATGCATGTTGATTGGCAACTTGTAACATTCGCTTGTGTGTGTTATGATGAGCAACACAAATCCTTTACGAAACCATTATGATGAACAATTTCCATTTGATTACACTTTCATTCCTTGTGGATTTCCACTAGTTTGTTTGCATACATATGTTGATTATGAAAGTGCCACCGTATTCATCATACACTTCATACAAAATCCTTATAGTAGCCTTTGATTGTATGATCAATATAGATATCACTTGCTCTCATTTGCAAGTCAACTTGGTTGGACACTTTGAATCATCTAAATTTCATTATTCATCATTCATATACATTGAGACTTGCTTAACAAAAGTCCCTTACTTACATATTCACATTTGATTTCAATATCATCATTCAAAGATTATCCAAATTCAAGGAATGGTTCTTTATGCAAGCTCAATTTAAGTCCAAGATGGAATCAAGTTCTTCTTGATTGAGTTTGGTGCAAATTGATTTCAAATTCCATGTTGTCCAAGTCATTCAAGTTCAAATTTAAGTAGTTTCGTTCAAGTCAAGTTCGTGTCCAAGTCCAACTTCAAATTGAGTTCTTTGTGGTTCAAATGTTCACAAACTTGATTGCAAATTCAAGTTTAAGTCCCCTACTGCCCATGTGTGTTCAATTTTGAGTTCAATTCGACTTCACTTGAGTTATTTAATCAAGTTCAAGTTGAGTTCACAATTGATTCAAGACCCAAATTATGGTTCATTTGATGTCCAAATAAAGTCCATTGTTTGTTCTAAGTCCTTGTCCTTTTGGACAAAATTTCGGTAGCCTCCCGGCGTCTCCCCTGTTTAGGAGAAAAACCAAGAGGCCGCCTACCCGCCACATTAACAAAGATGTGCACGGTTGGTATTTGTGAGACACCGCGGTGATTTTTAGTTTTCATCCACCACGCCAACAAAGGCGTGCATTGGTTTTAAAAGCATTTTTGAAAAAAAAAAAAAAGCAGTTTGCTTTCCCCCCGCTCGGGGGTACTTATGAGTGACCCCGCCTCGTCGTAGGTGCCGCACCGGGATCCCTTCCCACCACGCGCAAACATAATTAAATCAGATTAATTATGATTAATTAATAATTGATAATAATTAATTATTACTTAAAGATAATTAATTATAACTATTTTAATTAATTAAAATTAATTCGTAATTAATTAAAAAATGATAATTAAGACCAATTAAACATAATTAACTTTGGTTAATTATGTTTAATCAAATATTAAATATAATTAATTGTAACTAAATTTAATTAATTAGCACTAATTCATAATTTAAACTAATTAATTATAATTTAAAATAAATAAAGATAATAATAATAATAATAATAATAAATCAAGAATAAAAATCCTCCCCCTCTCCTCTCGGTTTAGGGGATTTACGGGATTTGGCCGCGGAAGGGCGCGTGAGGGGAGAATTACGTTCACGGCAAGAGCTCACGTTGTTGCTTCGGGTTTTGATCGGAGGAGGGAGGAAGAGGTTCGGCCGGAGTTTATGGAGGTAGGGATTTCTATTCCTCTCTCTCTCTCTCTCTCTCTGCGAACTGAAGGGAGGCGGAGAGATGTCGAGGCTTGCGATCGTGGAAGCAGAGGGAGGAGGCTTCGGGATTGGAGGAGTTCGGCTAGAGTCGAGCAGGAGGTCATGGGATTTGGCAAGAGAAGAGAAGCTAGAGAGCGTCGTGGGAGAGAGACGTGAGTTCGTGAGAGTGGAAGAGCAACCTAAGGCTTTGCTCGGGTGAGTATTTAACGAAGCGAATGAACCTCCTCGAGCGGAGTTTGAGCAGGAACCGCAGAGAATCGACTGGAGCGGCACCGTTTGCAGCGGGATTTCGGCACGATTTCGTGGATTCGCCGGGCATTAGGTTTTTTTTTCGTTTCTTCCCTTTGGGTATTATACATTGGTCAACATTGGTTTAGTGAACCTCGATGCAGAGTATAGCATCCACATGCAAATAAATTTTTTGTTTGATAAGTTGGTGTAGAAGAGTCAAAAAAATTACTTTCAATTTTAATGCTCGTTTCTATACAAAGCATAAAAGTAATTATTAAACTTTGCAAAATGCTTAAAATGGAAACAAAGAAAAGCTATGAAAAAAAACAAAACAAAATTTCAGAAGATAGGCCAATAGCAATAATAGAAAGAGGAGACACATCGATTACAATATAAGTGTCATAAGAGGATCAATCCAACAGTTATAACCTTTAATTCACGTGCTCAAAGATAACAACCAAGATTAAATAACCCTTTGACAGTTGAAAGTGCAGTTACTTCATAGTTCATTTTCTTCAAAAGCCTTGCAAAATAAATGCAATGAAGATGGCACATTTACTTTGTAGAGGGTTTATTTTACATGCATTTTCTTTGTAGAAACTCAAACATCCCCTAGCCATGGTATATCAAGCGCTCTATATAGAAATAAAAAAAGATGAGATGACATGCTCCACAGTTTTTGGCCAAATAAATGAAAGAAATGGTATAAATTAGACAGACCTAGTCCAAGTTGGTTTTCGTGAGATAAATTTTCCAACATCAACTTGCAAATTACCGAGTTCACCACTATGAATAGAACTCAAGCTAAAAGAGCTTGCAAAATTTGAAGCAGGAAAGCAGTCATCGGCTATCCTCAGCCAACACTTCATGCCCATATCAAAAAGAAATGCATGACGAGATGCAAGAACAACAAGGGGTGACCCAGATTTTGAAAACCTTGCAGATATAACTCTGATTGTACCTACATATCAGAAAGAAGGAAAGGATGGTCAACACAAGCTGTGCGTGGAAATCTAACTCTAGTATAACCATTCAAAAGCAGAAAAATAGTTGTTGAATCATTACGAGATTTAGCCCAGTTTGTTTAATATCTCAGATACAAAGCTTAAGATCATAAGTTCCATACCAGCATCTTTTAATGGAGTCTCCTCCCTTGAAGAAACCAGAGAAGCTAAAGAGTCATGAAGAATACATGATCTGTTAAAAAGATCCCAAACATACATTAATCCCCTCTTTGTGACTAGAAGCAGTTCCCAGTACTCGCTACAGTCTATAAAAACTGCTGCAGATCCCATCATCATGGCAGGCATGGAGCGCCTTCCACATTTTGTATAGACCTTATCAAGAACAAATTAAGGCAATCATTTTTCAAGATCTATGCATATGCAAGGTTCTCGGTAAAAAGCTAAAAAAATTTAAAATCTGGTAAACTCAACAATCATAAAAATGGGATAACATAATGGACGAAACATATGACCATGCAACATGAAAGTTGCACTGTATCCTAACGGAAACCACGAAGCAAATCTAGCAGAAAAATCTATCAAAAAATCTTTGCTGGGAACAGAAAAATGCAGGAATGAATATTCTCGAGGTAGAATGTTGTTCAATATACATAAAGCATACCATTGACCGTTGAGAAACATACTATAATGGATAATATTTGCAATGGTCTCTGTCAAGATGTACAAAATATATAATAAAAGAGGATGAAAGAATCTTAAACAAAATTAAATAGCAAACCTATCTCACACTCAAGTTAAATCCACCTGTTAATGGATGCTAAGTTAATGAAGTGTCATTTTGACAATAGATTGAAGTTAGAATTTGATGGAAACAAGGGAACAAAGATACTTCTATTGATACAAGATTCTTATGATGCCATCAATCAAGGGAGCTTATTTTCTTTGAATAAACATTATCAATTATATTATAATTTGCATAATATCTGGAAAGGAAACAAAATTAGAACTGTATAAACAAATCCTAAGACTGCTATTCTAACGAAGTTTCCTATCACCTATCAAGGTATGAAGTAGAAGTTCTTATCACGTTTCAAGAATTAATAAAAGTTCAAGCAGAAATAACTATCAGCAAAGTATCATGTTCAAATGTTAAATATTTCTAAAAGCATGATATTAAGATTTCTAAACAAACCTCTATAATACCTTGGAAAATCAACGAGACTGCAAGGAAAACATATTCCCTCTTGCATTTAGCTATATGGACCATCTTTCTCTCAAAAGGTGATGAAACTTTCAGTAGAAGTGCAATGATTGAGACTTATCAATAGTATACTAAGTATCCCCTTCTTTTTTAATTTGCATTTTGTTGCAAAAAACAAACTTTTTTTTTTCTTTAGAAATGAAATTATTGCAATCAGCAGCATCAAGATCCCTAAACATCGAATGCTAACAATATTGATTTGAACATATCTATTAGGTTACACACTAATAAAACCTAAATATGGTATGGCAATAGAACATCATCAATTTATCAGATGTGTTTCCATCTTACAGCACCCCTTTTTTCACAGTCAAGTACACATTATAGAATAGCCCGGATTTGGAGAAATTCTCATAAGGTAAGAACATTATATCTGCAATCCCATTACACGCAAAATGCAAACTCTAAGAAGCCTAAGCATAAACACACGGCATTAGTAGCATACCACTATGATGGCATGCTACATCTTAAACAATTATGACCTTCCTCATGTAAGTACAAATTATAGAATCAACAGAATTCAGCAGAAATTCTCCAAAAAGTAATAATATAATAAATGCAGCTCTCTTTACTAAACCTAAGCACAATGGTGCATAAAATTAATTTTAACAACCCAACGCATGAACACAGGCTAAAATAAATATGATAATATACTATATCTTAAGCTTCTAAGCCATTTCCTACAACTAGAGCTTCAAACTTCCCTAAGGACATTTTGTAAACAATTCATAGATCGAAATACCTGAACAAGAAAAGTTACTTCGTCTCATAATATAGCAGACTCCAACAATTAAATCACATATGTAAAAAAACCTGCAGTGGCCAACACCGTGACTGCAACCAGATAGGCTGAACTTAACGTTTAAGCATAATCATGTTTATTTTAGTGGAGTTCGTTCGGTACAGACCTAAATTTGAAACATCAAGAATCTTTAGTGGTGCAATTTTCTATATCACTGTTAAAATAAAATAATACAGATGGAACATAAACCTAGAAAAATTGATCAGCTTCAAAGTTCAAGATAACGAGTAAAATTGCAATCATCTTCAAAGTTCCAAGTTCATGGAAATGCAACTTCAGCCAGGCTTCCAATTGTTGGAAGTTAAGATACCTGTAAAGAGCCATCTTCACAACCAACTGCCCAAAAATTAGCATTTCCAGCCAAGACAGTAACTTTGCCACATATGCGGTCAGACCAAAGAATTAGAGTGCCCCTTGTACAAGTAATCTCAGTTTCCTTAGTCAAAAATGCATTGCCCACACCTATCATGTCATTCATAGATCGTTCTACAGCTTTGGCTTCCAAGCATATAGGCAAGCTATCATCATCATCTTTCTTATTGAAGACTCGAATAGAAAGAGCACTACATGAAGCAAGGGAACCTGGCATGCCCAGATGTCCTGAAGGTTCGACATGCATTCTACCATCTGTGTTAGCCAAGGCTGGTACCTTCTCAATAACTAAACTTTCATGAATATTTGCCCTCGCAGTGATACCAGAACGTTCCTTAGATCCAATGTTGTTGCACTTCACAGTGCCATCAGTCACATCAGTGTTGGCGTTGAATGGTTTCTTGAATGAAACTTCTTTAACTCCATTGTCAGCAGGTATCTGTCGGCAGTGATCCTTCTGATGTTCTGATGTCAAGGAAGGGAAGTCAGCAACTTGGACAGTGCCAGAAATGTTTTCCTGATGTGAAGAAACACCCAAGGCTTCTGGAATTATTCTTTTCCGTCCATCAGGACGTCTGTATTCTCTCTGCTTAACAGGACTGGATATCCGACCAGCTGATGCTTTATTCAAAGAGTCATTGGCAGACATTGCAATTTTTTTAGCATCATCAGCAAGCATTTCAGGGGCCTTTGTCATTGGCTGGTTAATGATTTGATTCACAGGATCTGTAGAAGTCTTAATTGATTGACTTTGTTGAAAAACAGAGGGTCCTTTTTTGCTAGCTGATTGCTTAGCAGCAACTGCTTCTAGCAGCAATTGAGCAGGGCTTTCAGCTACAGTAGCTTGCCTTCCTCTGGCATCACCATATCGGCTTCTCTTTAACTCATCCAATTCAGCATCAGTTAGTCTTTGTCCAAGTTCCTTCACTTCGAAATGGAAAGTAGCCACAGAGCCATCTAAGGAACACGCAAAGAGCGCATATCCATCCGAGCTCCTGCATCAAGGAAGGCAAAGATTAAGATAAAGATCTGAAATGGTAATTAAAATGACAAAATATCTAGAAGGCAAGGAGACAGACTGCTTTACCATGAAAGGTCAACCACACTTTGTGTGAAAAAATGCTTGGCAACAAACAGCGGACGAGCACTAGCAGTAGTCCAAACAGTTATTGTTCGGTCTTGGCTTCCAATGGCAATCACATTGTAAGGTTGATGCTCCTTTCCTGTATTTTTAGAAGTCCCATTTGTCCACCCAGTGGATGCAACCTTAACTTCCTGTACATTTGAAAAATGTTTCCGGAACATATAATGGTTGAATTTCACTACAATAATTGGTGCATTGTGACCTAGAAAGTCAAAAGTAGCAGACCATTCTCCTCTTTCAAGCACTGGGGCTGAGTGTCTCGGTTTCTGAAAGCCATGAGTGGTAGTTATAAAATGGCCACATGGGGACCACCCAAGCCTTCTAAAAAACGTTGAACCAAGCTGAGACAGGAACTTCAAATAATTAACGGAAAAGGATCTTCAAAGAATAATTGAAAAATAATAGCTAAAAAAGTTCATGGCTTACTGATTTTGCCCAATGCCCATCAGTCTTGTGAGCAAGACTCCAATCACTTGTGCGCCAGATAATGACAGTCTTGTCATCAGATTGGCTGGCTATAAACGTTCCAATAGGATCCCATGAAACCCCTTTGACTAAGCTAGAATGGCCCCGCAAAACTGCAGTGCAGATGCCATTGGTCATATTCCAGATATGAATGGTGTTATCCAAACTGCCACTGGCCAATGTTAAATCATCTGGTGACCAATTAAGATCAACCTACTTCAAGCATGGAAAACAAATTTCAAACTTAGACAAACCTATAGATAAAGACTTAGGACAGATCAATTATCCTAGATTAGGCTATACAGGTAAGTTGGGGAAGCATTTAATTACCACATCAGCAGTATGACCCCTTAACGTCATTGCTACTTTCCAATTCTCCACATCTGGTGGTTGTCCACTACCGAATTCTGTTGTACCTGACCCAGGTTTTCTCTCATATACAAGAATCACTTGATCATCAGACCCGGATGCGAGAAAGCAGCCATGCTTAGCCCACCTAACGCAATTGACTGATCCAAAGTGATCCCAAAGAGTCGCTAGCAGTCTCTGTGATTGGTCACTGTCGCCATCCCTGCCCACTGATTTCATATTCCATATCCGGACCTAAAAGAAGACAACAAAACAAGAAGAGTATTGAGAAACGCATTTTTGCATAACACACTAATCACTAATTTCTTGTAATTATAAAGAAGAATGGGTCATTGAAATAGTTATGACCATTTTAGATTCGTCCATTTAATCAGGGTAATTGGAAGAGGAATTACTTAATTACTCTCAACAAAGAGCACATAACATTAAGGGCATGCATTCTGTGGGTAAAACTGAAAAATCAAAATGAACCAATCTTATTTAGTTATTGATTATAATTTTAACTTTCTTTGATTTTTTTTATTATAAGTATGGTTTTTTTTTAAACCGATATAATAAAAAAAGCCTAATCATATAAATTTCTTCAAATATTAAATCAACGGAACCCATGAACTATAAATAAGCAGGTAACAGGGTGATCAATGTGAATATTATTTATACAACATGTCAAAATTGCAAATTTTAGAAAAGATTACTTGGCATTTCTTAAGCTAAAGGTAATTAGATCATTGTTAAGATTATATAAATTTTGGTTTATCCAGAACCAAACCAAACAAAAGTTTGATTCAGTTTATTTTTGTTTCAAAATAGTTTGGTTGGTTCGATTTTCTGAATTTTAAAACAAAAATAATTGGTTTAGTTGATATGCAAACTAATCAGATGAAACCGACCAAATGCATAAACCCATACAAAACACCAAAGTTAACTTCCCTGTAAGCACCAAAACATTTGGATGTTGGGGAAGAGCTAACAGTTCCAGCAAAATGTTATCATAAGATTTTCAACCAAAAAATATTTAAACAATTACACTGCAAAGTCAACTTTTGCTGGAAAAGAATCCATACATAAAACAATGAAGAAAACAACTGAAAAAAAAAAACGTTCTTCATTAGTACCTCTCCCTGGTACACATAGATTGTAGCAGAATTATTAATGGCAGTCAGTAAGTTCTTAAAGCTCACTACCCAAGCAAAAGAATCTAAACAACATCCGCTAGGACCTTCAAAGGTAGATATAGAAATGTGAACTAAGTCCCCTCAAAACAATCACTTCCTCATGATAAAACTTAGAATAACAAAACACGAATAAATTGAGAGCGGTAAGCACGAGAAAAAAGTTCGCAAAATTAGGAACACAAAACCGAAAAAAAATCTCACCTTGTGGTCTCCCCCGCCAGTTGCGAACCGGAGACTACCCACCTGGATGTCAATCGAGAAGATTTGCATACCCTCATGCCTAACCCAGCTTGGCTTCTCCGTGATCATCTTCACGTCCCCCTTACTCTTCCCCCTTCTTCTTCCGCACCCAAACTCCCAAAACTGGCTCACTTCTCAGTAATCCAACAATGAGATGAACAAGGAAACTCCGTCGGGACAAAAACCCTCGAAAGGTACAAGGGTAAAAACCCTAGGATGGAACTCGGCGGTCATGGCGAAGGATGAATCCAAGGAGAAGACAAAGAGACAAACTGAAATTTGAAAGTTGGATGCCCGGAGAAGGAAACTGACTTCAGAGATTTCCTTGCACGAGTGCAGAAGACCATTTTCTTTTCTTTTCTTTTCTTTTCTTTTTTTCTTGATGTCTATTTCTATTCTGTTTGGCACAAAATGATGATTGAAGACTAGGGTTGATGCAAGATCAAATAGGGAGAGATTAAATAGATGAACAAACTTTTGTTAGGGCAAACTCTATCGTTATATTGATCGGTCCAATGCCACATTCTCAGCCATTTGATAGATAATAAAAAAAGCGTGCAAACGAGATTATCAATTGTATGAGTATCTGTTGGTTTCTTCAAGTGGGCTTACCAATCGGTTAAAATATTCAGCATGAAAATTTTAGAGAGGCTATGCCCAATGGCATAACTGTAAATACAAATCATTCTTTTAAAATTCAAGATATTCAAAGTAAGTTTAGAAATGGCATTCATAGCCAGTGGAAGTGGACATTAATTGTATATTTACAATGAGAAATTTCAAATAGTAAAATATGTTAATATATTTTTGTTATAGATAATCATATCTTAAAATTTTAAAGGTGGTCTGCTCTCTAAACAATGATGAAATGAAGGGAGAAATTTGTTTTATGAGGGCATATAAATTATTATTATTTGAAAAAAAATTGAATTGAATATTTATAATTAAATTTACTTAGCATAAGGTATGTTCAATTGATTTATTTAAAAGGAAATAAGGAATAGTTAAGAGAATTGAAAATTTTATTAAAATTAGATAATTTGATGACTGATATTTTTTTAAGATTGTATAAAATATGTTTTTTTATCATTTAAAATTATAAAAAATGTGATATAAAATGAATAAATGAAACTTTCACCTTCTTATATCTGATTCTATTTTCATGTTAATTTCTGGAGCTTGAGCACTCCCAAATTGTTTCAACAGGATCCAGAACCTATGTCTCCAAAATACATACATTTTAATTATTTTATATATCTACAATGCAAATACTTTAAAAACATATAACAAAAGGCAAAAAAATAAATAAATAAATAAACAAAAGTCCCCCAAATGAAATTAGTTTATTATGTATCCCATTGAGTAGGTATAATCATTTATATTTTTAATAATATTTTATTTGTAAGGCATTAGACGTGCAATGATTAAATTATTTAGGCCTCTTTGGTTGCAGCATTCATTGCATAAGCAGAGATCAAAGAAATGGAGTAAGCGGCTTTTTTTTTTTTTTTTTTGGAGATCAGCAGTATTTCGAAGATATAGGAAAGGAGATTCTGCAAAAGGCCTATTAAAAAACAACACACCGTAACTGTTTTAGCCGATTTAAATTGAAAATGGTGTAATTAAGGAAACAAACGAGGCTTTAATTGACAAAGCAAGAGAAGAAGATAATGTTGTGCTGGTTTGGGGGTAAGATTTTTTTTTTTTAATGCTTGAGAATGAGAAACTTTAAAAAAAAAGTATTTAGGTTTGTTTAATACAATTAAAATTAATTTTTTAAGCTTTATTTGTATCGATGTGATTATGATTATATATATATATATATAAGCAGCGTCTAAGAGATTTTTAAGCAAGAGTAAGAATCAACCATTAACTTTTTTTGGATAGTTCCAAACCTATATGTGGATATCACCCATCTTTACTAGCAAGCTAATCTAGTGAGCTAGGTCCTGTGATGATGGAGAGTAGAGAGAGTAGAAAGAATAGAGAAAAGCTTTTAGAAAGCTTGATAATCTATGAGTCTCAAAACATGCAGAGTACCCATTATATCAGTAAAAAAGTCCTCTCAAACTATTTATAATTACCCCTTATTCATAGAGAAAGGAAATAAGAGAAAAAAAAAAAAAACCCTACTATATCACCAATATAACAATATACAATACTTTATGGGGAGCTTTGTAGAGCTTATCTATGCGATGCTTAAAAGTATGGTTACAATTATGACTTTATGTTCTATATGCTCTAAAATAACAAAAGCGTGCATGTTGATTAAGTAATAAAGTGTATTTGAGATTGTCAATCCCACGAGAAAAATAGTATGCAACAACTAACTTTAGTATTGTCTACTCTATCTATAGAATTTATCATATGCAATAAAATAAATGGTAAATGCTATAACTATTAAGAAATGCAGAAAATAGTGAAGAAGCACATAATTACAGGTTTCCTAGGCTAATGATAGTGAATGAACCTATGTTTTCCTAAACAAATTCATCAATAGTAGTTGTAGATCATAGCATATACACCCTTAGATCTCTATCAGGTAAGGGTGTAAGGAATGGTTTATAGCTGTTAAGCTTTTAAGTGTAAAAAAAAAGTTTATGGCCTTCCTACATTGATATTATCTCCATAGAATCAAGAATTCTACTCTTTCTATACCTAGCTATGAAAGCATTTCATCTCAAGGCTCCTAATTGTTTCAATATTCCTCCATCGAGGCAATGTATCTCACTAGATTTTAACTTATATATGGCCATTGTATAAATTAAATGAAGCATAAGAGAAATTGTGAATAATAATTCATATTTATATAAAAGAGTCAACATTAAGATATGCACAGACTATTCACATCATCAACCCAAAACAAGGAGTTTTATCAAGCCATTAAAGTAAATTAAAGCAAAACACTTTTCATTCCTTACTCAAGAAAAATTAAAAATATAAAAGATGAAGGAAAAGTCACTCAAATTGAAGAATCATAAACATATCCTGCATATGGACTCTTCCCATAGTGAATCCCTCCTTACACATTCGCTCTCCACACTCCTTTCCACTCCTAAGTGTTATTTTGATCATTACAAAAATGACCAGCCCCTCCACTAAACGTAACTCACTATCCTCTGGTCTCTCCCACAAAAGAAAATACAAAAAACTATTTCTATTTTTTACATAAACTAACTCAAACACCACGACACTCGATAGAGTGGCATCATGACATTAAAATATGAACTAGTGCCTTTGAGCTCCTAAAATGGCTCTATTGCAGTGTTGGGCTAACCCAATGCAATGGTTGGCAGACCTGGCGCATTGCTTAGATGATTTGAGCACTTTCTTTCGTAAATATTTTACTGTGGCAATACAAAAAGTTTGGCATTGTGGCACTTGATCCATCATATGGTGATGTAGTGCTTTAGAGGTTGGCAGTTCAGCATTAAATTACTTACAAATTTGGCATATCACAAAGTGTTGCAATGTTCTTCTAGTGGTGCTAAGATTCTCATAGTGTTGTGACGCTGACATTTGTTCCATTGGGGAAATGAATTAAATGTAATTTTTTTTAGACTCTAGCGTTGTTGTGTTTGGTTTCGGAGTTGGGGCATTTAGGATGCCGCAATAATGATATTTAGGGTGCTTAGGCATTGGTTCTTAATTTTACAAATTTCAACTAAAACATTTTTACTACAAGTTAAAAAATTAAAAAAAAAATGTACATGTTTTTCACTTAACAAATTATCCACCAGCATAAGCATTTGCTTGTCCTCATGCTATTGTTTTCTAACTTTGATAATTTCATTATTCAAAATAAAAATGTATCAATTTAAAATGATAAAAAAATTAAGTTAATACTCTACTATTTAAATTTAAATTATAATTATTAAAGTGTGGTATTTTTAATTTAAAAATTATGAATAAAGCTTCATAAGGAATCGTCTTTATTGATATCCAAATTAAACTCATCTACCACAAGTGTAAATGTATTTTTTTACTATTAATTTAGATTGAATTTTTTATCATTTAGGAATTTGTTGTAGATTAGTTAATTTTCAAATTCAATTATAAACTTTCATATGCACTAGCTTACTTTCACTCTCCTTTTTTTTTAAATTAAGTAATTGAATCCTTTAGGAATTTAGCATCATCAGATACCAATTTTTTGATGTTATAGTACTCATTATCCTTTGGCTTTCTCTTTCTTTTAAACTTCTTTTAGTTCATTTTTTTTTAATGCACATGTACTAAAATAATGATTTTGAATATCTGATTAATTTTATTCCTTCAAGGTCCTAAATTAGAATTATATAAGGATTGTGTAAGTTTACAAATTTCATATTTGAGTTTAAAATGAGTTTTATTAATTAATCTAAGTGCTTCCTTTTTCTAAACTAAATTTTCAATCTTATAACCAAAAGTCAGTACTTCGGTGTTATAGCATTTAATTTCAATATGAAGTATTAATTTCAATAATTTTTCTTAGTTGCTTATTAGAATAGTTAAATTATGAATTATTACTCTTTCTTCATTCAATTAAGCACTTCTATTTTTTTATTATTCTTAATTTTAAGTGATTTTTTAATTGCAATTTATATTTTCGTCAATTGAATTATCATAATGCAATTTAAAAGAAGATATTACAATAGTAAAGCAAGTAGAAAATTAAGTTAATTGAAGTAACAAATAATATAATTACCAATAATAAATAAAATATACTAAAGTACAAACAAAATAGGCAATGCAAAGTTCTATAAAAGCTAATAAAATACATAACAACACATAAAAAATTTGGGTGGCCTCACATAATGTTAAGTTTATAGTATTCTGTCAGATTTGTCTAGATTTATCGTTTGGACTATGTCACATCACTACCAATACTCAACCAATCCAAACTTTGCTCTTTCCCTTTTTTCTTAGGAATGATTTTAGTGGAACTAGATAACACACCATAAGGTCTACTACTACAGAAATTTGCTAGCTTCCCTAATTGATTATCTAAATTTCTAATGACAGCAATCTGCTCTATAATTGGTTTCTCATCTGAAGCACTAAGTTCTCCAATGGCATCTTCCTATCTTTGAATTGATTATTCTGATTAAATCTTGGGGGATAAGAAGTTACAGAGTTCACTATAGGCTATTGAGGGTTATTCCAAAGTATTATAAGATTGGACTAGCTTGTATTCTAATGATTTCCACTATTAATGTTACTCCAACTAAAATTAGGGTGGTTCCTCCACCAGCATTATTTGTATTTGAATAGGGATTGTTTGGCCTTTCAATTACAATTATATTCTCAACACCATGAGCACTTGACTCGCCCATATAAATCAAATTATTCTCTTCAAAATGCATAGGTGATCTTGATACTAAACTAACTCCAAGATTGACTAACTTATAGGATATGTGAGCTACCTGAGTCGCTACTATCTTAGGATTTATCATATCAGAAGGCCAATGGAAGTTATTAATTGCCATATTTTCTATCAAGGCATAAGCCTCATCAAAATATTTTAACATCAAAGATCCTCCGGCTACCGCATCAATTATTGACGTAAGGGATCCTATAATCCC